AATACCCTCGCCACAGCAAACCTGCAGAATAAGCGAATTTCAACTTGTCTGATTACATTTTTACTAAAATATTTCCATGATTAAGACATATTTATTCCCAATTTAAAAAACATCATTAGATTTAACGAGTACTTAGGTTTGCTGCCACGGGGAAGGTAAAAAGTTTTTTTGACCATACGTCAATAGTATAGGATGTAATAAATAAATTTGCCAAATTGTATCAACATATATCCATAAACAAGTAAACTACAATAGTTTTCATTTTCTCCTTAAGAATAGCATTGGAATTTTAATTTACACTTTTTTTAATTCTCCCCGTAACCGTTAGGCATACAACAGAGCTTCAATATACTAAATTATTTATTTTTTTAAGCTCTACAAAATGGTTTAGAAAGGAATTGCCAAATCTTTTGTTTTTAGGGTCTAAAATGGGAAAAATCCTTTTTTACCCCATAAAACCCCCCATAAACCCCCGTTCCCATGGTCCAATCATGCTGGTTTGCGAACTCGTTCGAATAAAATGTAGGTTTACACGCTTATACCAAATTCCATCAAAATCGAATCATTTTTGTTCGAGTTATCGTTCTAACGGACACACACACATTTATATATATATATATGAATTTTAACGGAAGGTTTTTTTGGCCTCTATGGACCTCAAAAAGAAAAATCAAATCGGTTCCAGGTCCATTTCTTACCATGACACCTACGGTAATAGCTCATTCCGTAAATGGGAAATTCACTAAAAAAAAGTAGATAAGAAACTAGAATATCATATCATATAGAATATAATATCATTCTAAGCAGGATTATATACTGTTGTCATTTTAGTGATATTTAAAAAAGGAAATGGCCCAATGATAGGCCAAATACAAATTGGTAATATATAAGGTATACAAAAAGGAAAATCTAAGGCAAAGCTTTATCCGTATTTCCCGACGCGTTTGAAACGCATACTTATTTTTGTATATACTTTAAACTAAACATTATATGTTTTTAAAAAGACTTTAAGACTTAAAGTCGTAAGGAAAAAGTTACACATTTTCAGAATGTAAATATTTTTTTAATAATTAATATAAAAAGTTCATTTATGTAAAACACTATCGTCATGAAAATTTGTAAATTTTAGAATAGTAAAACCAGTTTATTAAAGCCAGTAAAAGTATAAATTAGCAATATCTTTATCGACTAAACCTATGAAGTAGTTTAAGTAAATAAGCAAATCTTCTCCCAAGAAGAGGCTCGTTCATCAAAATACTTAATAATGAAGAAAAGGCATGAAAGGTAAAATACTGAGCGATAAATCTTGGCGTCATATAAAATTCAAATCATTGCGAAAAGGTTAATTCCTACCCACTACGCTGGGCCGCTATTTTCATCTTCCGCGTAAGATGTGGAGTTAAATGGGTTTAACTAAAGTTTCTCAATAAAGTAGCCATTATGGTAGTTACATTTGTGTTCTTAATAGTCCAAACTAAATGTTATTGGAACAGATTTCAATCAGTATATCTTTCGCTATCCGAAACAACCCCTAGTATATTATTGTCGTTTTACCTATTACGAAAAATAGCTCCGTTTAATTCCATCCATTTAGATATCTTTTGCTATGTTTGCATTTAAAGTGTAACCCTCATTCCAGTTGAAAATTGGGTAACATTTACTCACTGACACGTTAAAAAATACCAATTATTTTAATACTTTGATGTGAATCTTCTCTAAATAATATAAGATACGGAAAACTTGGCCGACACAAAACTTTTTCGCATTATTGTGTTTAACTTTAAAACTAATAAATTAAATACACCAAACTGCACTAAGAAGAATATATTTACATATACAATTGTGGAAACCTAAATGGTATATGTATTCTAAACATGGAGACTGTTTTACTCATACATTGTTATTATATCGTACTACTAATTTAACAACATATTTGACATTTAAACTGGCAATTATTTCGTCAATTTTAATTGGATAACCTTAAAATTAAACTTGTAAATGAACTGTAAAACTAGATAGCATTTTAAGCGAAAAACTAGTCAAATCTTTACCTAAATTTAAAAAAATGACTGTTAAGCGATGTAATTTTATTTGATAAAAAGTATTAACTGTTAAAACGTTAAGCACGTCCAAACAGTTTGATTTAACGGTGTCAATACATTTTCAAGATGTTTCCAGTATTGCGTCCCTCCATAATTAAAGGTGTCAGTCACTCCTTTAGACATACCTGTCTCGTCTCCGCTTAGCGAAGTTAGCTGATGGAATCTAGTCTGTAGTTTAAGATGGCATTAGGTAATCGGTTTTATCTTTAGATATTATTACGATGAAAACATTACATTTAATTTCGTTCTATCTTAACGTCTTCAACCCATGTATAACCTTAGTAACAATTATCATTGTATTAATTAACTACGTGTTGACCATTGTGAGTTTGCGTATTTACATTTCTTTATTTAAGAAACACTCAAGTTGATTTTTATTTCTATTAATTCTGAATGAATGCATAGATTGCGACCTAAAATTTGCTCTAGCGTTGATTTTAACGCGCTTAAAAACCATTACAATCTTTTGGTTACATATCAGCGTTTTAAAAGTATAACTACGGTGTTCCTTAAAATGTTGAAGAATTAATTGTGCTTTTGGGGCCATTTCGTAGGTACGGTACCGAAAATCCACGATTGAATAAGTCTGTAAGGAAACCCACCCAACTTCTGTGATATGTGTTGGTCGTGTTTAGTATCTTATCGCAAAAATAGTTATTTGTGTAACTAGTGTGTGAAGTGGCACTTCACTACTGCACATGAGAGAAATGTCTACGCACTAGCCGCAAGCGAGTGTGGAAAGTTTATCGAGTGCAGCAAATGCACTTTGCGCTTGCATTGTACATTATATTTTTCCTATAGTTACTATAAAGCATAGGGATATTTAGTCTTTCAAACACTAAACAACACGTTTTAGGTTAGGTTAAATCCAAGTGTTGAACGAAATGGGAATTACTGCACCTGCTGATCGTAGTCGTAGTATCTTTAAATTGTGAAATTGTGATTATATATCAAATGTGATTGTGATGACAAACTAGCAATTATCGAGATCCTGGGTGTTCTTCGTCTGAAGTAAGACTTTGCACCTATCAAATGTGTTTATTGATACACATTTCATAGGTGTATCAACAAAATGAAAAAATGGCCCTATACAAATAAAAAAAACTATACTATAGGTATGTTTTTTGATAGTTATATTATTATTGCAAAAAACTGTTAACAATTATGGGTAATTTTGCAATGTCAAACAGTAGACCCAGCTGGCGATGAAACAATTTCACCATCCCTCTGTAAATCCTGTTTATTCTGATTAATTGTTTTCCAACCCAGGGAATATTGCATTATCTAATATATTATTTCTGCAAGTGAGTACCTTGATAATCTACCTTTATATGATAATATTAGGTAACGAAGATGGAGATCATTAAAGAGCGTGAAAACCAGCGACGCGGCACGTAATCGCTACCGCTGCCACCATCTGGTGTTGTATTTACTTATGAATATCGTCGACAGACAATGAGAAATTTATTCTCCTTAGTAAAGTATCAAAGATTTATACTTGATTAGAATCGTACCATCAAGTGTGAAGGAGAACCATTCCAAATTATTTTATCACAGTCGTGTATTCAATGCTATCCCTGCATGATCAGCAGACCAAATAAAACTTTTATATTTAAATTATACTGTAAATAAACTGTTAAAAGTCTCATAAGTCATTATACGAATAGAATTTGTAATTTAACAAATTGAAACCTTGTAGAGTGTTAACAACTATTGCGAACGATCAATCTTTTATTGAGGTATAAATTTGTTTCCTCTGTTATGACTGAAGGTAGGATTTATATACTTTTTACAGCCCTTTAAAAATGTTATCATCCAATACGTGACTAATTAATTTTCTGTAACTTAATATCAATTTGTAGTTTTTAAAATTTTAAATTTAATCATCCATTTTTGTCTTGTAGACTTATTGATTTTATTTATGCTATGAAACGGATGTGCAAAATAGCTATAAAATTAGAAATGTTCCATTCAATGCGTATTTTAAGGTGAAATATACGCTTAAACTAGTATTATCAGTAATCAATTTTATATAAATCTTTCGGGTTAATTTTAAATTTTCCCAATAAACTAATACACAGAATATTTTTACTGTAGGGCATTTTATAAATATTAATTTTTTACAACACCAAATATTTCCTTGGTCTATTCTATAAAGAGAAAAATAATGTAACGAATATTTTATCCTTATCAAAAAATTTAATCACAATTGAAATGACACCTGTTGATTGGAACAGAAGCTATCAGAAATGAAATAAAGATTTCAAACGTTATCTCAAATTTTCAAATATTACTGTTTACAAGAAATTCGTCGGGTATTTGTAGGAATTTATAAACTGGTATTTGTTAAGTGAAAAAAAATTAAATTTCTTTATTTGTTGTGAACGCTTTTGTTGTTAAACAACTTTTAGTGTTGTTTTTATGAGTTTCTAAAAGGGATTCAGCATTTAAAACTTTCAAATACTAAAACATAATTTAAATCGACCTAAAATTGACCTAAAATACTTCTTTTAATATAGCATTTAACTGTTTTATTTTACTACCATGAAGAATCACCCTTCTGTATTTCACAACCTTTTTTAAACGTTTAATATTACCCAAACACAAATATGTTAGAGAAACTCTTATAAATCATAAACAATCTAATAAACATTCATGAATTTTTACTCGTCGTTAAAACTTACACTACTGTAACTGCTAATTTTAATTTTAATTCTTAAACTAGTGTACTCTAAAATAACTTGTATTTTTACAACGCCTATGACTAATGCTTAGTACACGTGGCCTGTGTAGTATAATGCGGACGTGATGTCTACATCAGACACGTGTATGTGACAATGACAGTGACGAGTGCTAGCGAGGTATACTCGACACTAGGGGTAGGGTGCTGATACTAACCGAGACACAGTAGTAGTAGCATCAGCACGGCAGCGGCGGCGGCGCGCATGGCTGACGTGGTGAAGACCTCTCACCCTACACCGTCCGACACAATCCCCGTTCTACCCCACACTGGATACTGGATCTCAACTCTATCTCCTCTCACCCCCTAGCTCCAAGCCTTGCGCTCTTCAAGACCATCGATTCCTACTTCAGCCTCCCTAAACACATCGCAGATTTTAATATCTGTGAGACGATCCGCCCCCTTCTTCCGTCCGTGAGTTCGATCTCGGCCACTTCTTCTCGGCCCTCGCCACTCCGTACTGGTGGTACTCGCTCGATAGTGTGTGTTGTATATAGGGATTGGATACTGGCATTACTTTAAAATAACATACTTCCACATAATGAAACAAATAAAGTCAATTGTTTTAATAAAATGATTTGTGTGTAAGCGCCGTGTACATAGTATTTATGTATAATATAAGTACTATACAACTTTTATGTATTTAAAAATTATCAATAAATCTTTGTGATTTTCATGATATGTTAAACCTAATATTTACATATATAAAAATACCAGTGTCGGAAAAAAATGTATTAACAGTCTGAAACAGCATACGTATTTTGTTTGCCACACCGTAATTTGCAATAATCTACAGATTGTAATATAATTCACTAGCTAGCAAGAATAAACGATAAAAATGTATAAATCAATAAGCATGCAATAAAAATCAATAAACTAAATTCAACAGTCGTGTTATATATATGCAATAGAGACTTAAACAAGTTATCTAATGGTATAAGTGAACATTCAACTAAGCTAACAATCAACAATGCGATAGTAAATAGTGAATTATATCAATGAACCTAACATTGGTTCACGACTAACAACGTGCAATCCTTCTCTTTCTTCATAAGTTCAAATACAGATTTCTAGTTTTCGCTGTTTTCCTCATTGTAAAAATCCCTTCAAAATAAGAGTTAATTGGGGAATGTGGGTTGATGAAATTCAGCATGCCCCAAAAATATCCCATTTGCGTACAGTTGCTAAAAAAACTATAAAACTGCATTAGATTTACTAGAACTACATACATTAAACTATGAATAACTTCTTGATCAGCATTGTACGTGTTATTAAATTTACGGAAAGTAAATTAAAGTAACGTCTTATAACACTTAAAACGTATATTTACGCATATTTAGATTACTCACAAGTCGGTAAATATACAAAAAAGATGGTAAGTGGTGATCGATTTCGATTGGACACTCCAATCATCATCAGACCCAATGCCCTGATTATTGGAGTGTCCAATCGAAATCGATCACCACTTACCATCTTTTTTGTATATTTACCGTCTTGTGAGTAAAAGTATAAGCGTAAATATATGTTTTAAGTGTTATAAGACGTTTCTTTTATTAAACTATGCAATATTGCTCTTATTGTTTCTCTGGTATTATAATATTATCATTTTATTTCGAACAAAATTTAGATTTGATACAAATACCCATAGAAAACCGAGTTTGAAGAGTGCTACCTCATTCGGTCTATTCATAGTTTGGAAAAATTACCTATCTCATAAATATCTATAAAATAACATAAACTTAATTGGATTCGGATTCGATAGATTGAGGTTTAGCACGTATTATCCGTTTTGGGGCAGATAGTAACACTGCGTATTTTCTAACTGGCAATATAATAGAGTGTACTTTCATAATGTACTAGGTTTGGATTTACTATGGTTATCCATCAAAAAGCCCTTCTTTTGTTAAGCTCTTTAAAATAAACGCGAATTTGAGTTACGTAACTTGAGGTAATTGAAAATGTTTTTAACGATAAATTTGTTTTTTTACATATAAGTTGTGTTTACTTAAGAAGTTGTTAAGTAGAAGTTGTTAAGTAGAAGTTGTTATGGTCTTTTATAAAGTTAACAGTTAGTCCTTAGACATTTTATGAATATTATATTAGTCTTTATATCAATTGCAGGCAGCAATTAACTAATGTGCTAAGGATAAAATAATATCATTGCACTTTCGAGCATGCTTATGTGTCTCTCGTTTCGCATGGGAGTCGATGAAACAAGCATAACCATATCATCCAGTAGTCTAGTCCCTAGTCTACACTGTTTTCACTGCTCCGAACTGGCGTTATTGTAGGCGACGCGACGTTTAAAACGCAGTAACAGTCAAGCAAAGAAAAGAAATGTGGCCGGTCGTATGTGGTTTTATTTGTCAAAGCCAACTTTTTCGTACTCATTTGTGTTCGGCTGTGTTTTTAGTTTATCACTTACAACATAAAAAAAGGTGTAAGAACGAAGCCAAAATGAATGTTGTATTTCCATGGCACTGGTTTTGAAAATTTGATTTTTCCATTTGCCATCACAAGTAAAAAGTTTTTAATCAATATATTTATTGCTAAATCCAATAAATACGGTTGTTTTTAGTAGAGTTATTATGAAGTCTATTATGGTAAGTACCAGGGGACCGAGCATTGCTTGTGGTGTTTAATTTGTAGATTACATTAAAAAACAAACATATACCTATATTTCCATTATATTATAAAATACATTCAAAAATAAAAACATTTATATAATAACTTTTCTCGTGCTGAAGTATCTGTGCTTTTGGACAACATTTTGTGCACGACCCTGCACAAAATCTAGTAATTCGTTCGTCTCAAGTTATTGGAAAACATTTTAGGCCTAAATAAACTCGCACTAGGCTTACTGACACAGTAAAAATTACCAAAATAAAAATTCTGCATTTAAAAATATTATCATTGCAGTATTGTCATTTGTTTTAAAGCTGAGCCATGGTATAGGTCTAAGACTTGATGTTATAACAGTTAATCTCTTACTTTACAGTTTATTGGCCTACATTTGACATCGGGTTTCCTCTACCAACTAGTCGCATCATACAGTTTTGTGCTAAGTCTAATAAAAAGTAACTTTTATTGAAAACTAATGAATTCCACTGATGAATCTACTCTTAGAAATAAGTTTAGCCTAATTGCCTAAGACAAGTGGAGTCCGCTCTCCGCGTTCCTCTCTCCGCTGGCCGACTACGCGCCTAGGAAAACCCGGCTTTAAGCTGGGTTTTCCTAGGCGCGGAGTCGGCCAGCGGAGAGAGGAACGCGGAGAGCGGAATTGAAATTAACATGGCATTCCGCTCCGCTTCTAGGAAAACAGTAACATTAAATTGCCTAAGACAAGCTGAAAGCCGGGTTTTCCTAGGCGCGTAGTCGGCCAGCGGAGAGAGGAACGCGGAGAGCGGAATTGAAATTAACATGGCATTCCGCTCCGCTTCTAGGAAAACAGTAACATTAAATTGCCTAAGACAAGTGGAGTCCGCTCTCCGCGTTCCTCTCTCCGCTGGCCAACTACGCGCCTAGGAAAACCCGGCTTTCAGCTTGTCTTAGGCAATTTAATGTTACTGTTTTCCTAGAAGCGGAGCGGAATGCAATGTTAATTACAATTCCGCTCTCCGCGTTCCTCTCTCCGCTGGCCGACTCCGCGCCTAGGAAAACCCAGCTTAAGTGTAAACATAAGAACTACAAATAAACACTCCAACACTCTAAAGATCTAGTTTTCTGATGTATAATGTAGTTTCAAAGGCTGAATTTTAGGGTTTGTGAGACAAAAAATGTCTCACTTTTTCACTTTAAATTTACGCCTTTACTTTATGTTCTTGAGTATAGAGCATATTTATACGAGTGTTAGGAGGTTAGTTTTTATACTGAATGTCATTTAAAATATGTCTAAATAAAACGATCATGTTTAAATTACCGTATTAATTTGGAACTCTAGTTAACCTATAAAAACATACCTTAACTTATTTGTTTTACGTGTAAATCATCTCCATTTTCAATTTGTCCATTTGTAATTAAGTTGCAAAGCCATTTTTCCCTTCTTAGGTAGACGTTCACACTTAATTCTAAATTTAATTAACAATCATTTCCATACAGATGAACAATCAATATTGAAAATATCCACAAAAAAGTTGAATATAAAACTCGTGATAATATTTAACATCTCATCTGTTGACCACCAGTGTTGCGAGTTGGGAATATTATGCGCTCTCTAGTCGCAACAATGGAATAGTTCTCGGGTATTAGAACAGAAACGGTATGAATAAAAAACATAAAATAATTACGTCACTGGATGGAATCTAATACTAATAATCTCTACATGTGTTTGGGCGATTTTGACAAATGCATTGAAATAATAATACAAACATGTTTATTTACGGGTAATGAAATGAAATGAAAATTAAATAAAAAATTATTTTTCCTACAGTTACCTAACAATGTACATGTTCTCTCACTAATTTGAGAAAGCAAAGAGGCCAATTCTCTCATCAGTGAGACAATGTTAACATTGTCTCACTCTAATTACTTTGTCTCACTCCAGATTTGCAACGTGAAGGCACGAAATAGTGAGCGCGTAAGATGCAGGCAACGTCGTATGCGCGCGAAATACGTTGGCAGCACTGGCTGTAAATCAGCTGGTAGCTGTTGCACTGTTGTATTTCTAACTTCACATTAAATAATATATTAAAAGTTCACTTCTGTGTAAAAATAGGTTATGTTTCTTCACAAATTTATTTGTTTTATGGTAACTGTAGGAAAAGTATAATGTGCAACTCGAGTTCAAAGTACAATTGCCTCACTCGAGAAACCATTCCTCACTTGCCTACGGCTCGTGAGTAAGGATTTCTCTCGAGTGAGTCAATTGCTCACTTTTCTCACTAGTTGCACAAATAACTATATTCTTACAGGCAAAGTTTAATCAGTCGTTTTTTTATGATTCATATTTTTTCTATTCCATAATCCGTGGGATCGTCAAATAACACGCCCATTCTGGTGGCGCATCATCAAAAATCACAGAACGTCCTTGGGGTTTCCTCAATACTCAATCATGCTTAATCTATGTTATAATCTTATGCGGTAATAAAATATTCTACGATTTTGAACAGTCGCAATTATTCCATTGCTTAGCAAAACATCCAAAGTGTATTAAATAACCAATGCTAAATGGGAATGTCCTTTTCTTTAGTGGTGTATTTAGTAATTTGCCATTGTACTGTAGACGATTTGTTATAAGCATAATATGACAATTCATTTATTTACATTTTCGTCATGGCTACCTAGCTTTCCATAAGATAAATGTTACAAATAAATATCAAAATTTAATTTAAAGATTTTAACTAAAAACGAATTTTCTCGGAACAGTGCCTAGCGAGGATAGTG